ATGTTGGCAACAACAATTGGGCTCTGTTTGTTGTTATTGTGGCCTTTGTTCAGACACTAGTGTAGACTTCGTATGTGCTTGTGTTTGTTTGAAGTATTTCCCCATCTCTTTTTTTTTTTTTTAATTTTGCTAGTGTGGAGGTACACGTGAGGCGTGCTATAGCTGAGACCCACACTCAGGGCACGTGTGCGACCACTGATGAGAGGTGGCAGCATGGCTAAAAATGTGAACGTTCTCCGCGAAATGAGTTGAAGAGTCGGTGCGGTGTGCGGGGAAGTGCCTGGTGTATTCAGGGCTTACCTCTCTTATCATCAAAGATAGGCTATTACAGAAAAGATGAAAGGGAGACGAGGTGTAGAGCAAAGGGAGTGATTTAAAGACAGCCAGGAGAGTTCTTATGGGGGGTGCGTGGTCAAAAGTGGCTCATCCTATTGGACGGATCACCCTGATCTCTGCTGACAGTTTACATAACAACAGAAGAGGAGGTGACGTGACTCCTTACGCAGTGACATCACTGCCCACCCTCCTATGCTTTTGCTCCACGTACCCAATCATCTCAGCCTCTACTTGTAATTCAGGCCTAGTTAGGAGGCAAATCAGGAGGACGTAACACACTAAGGTGCACTCCTGTTGTGTACGCGCACACACTCCTCTCCTAGTCTCTGCTGCTGGTCAGACGCCCCTATGTGAAGCTCCCACAGCTGAAGGGAGTGAGGGGGTCGGGCCCAAAGGACATAGGTCAGGAGGACAGAGGAGGGGGTGCGGTTGTAGTGTTGGTGGCAGTGGTGTTTGTTTTGGGGACACTTTGGTGGGGAAGTGGGTTTGCATCAATGAGAGACAAGGGGCTGGCCAGGGCAGGAGCAGCAGAGCAGGACAGGGACGGAATGGCCCTGAAGCTGCTCTTCTGGGAGCTGGAGAAGCATCTGAAGAGGTAACGATAGCTGTGGTTTTGTCACATTGTCAGAGGACTTGCAGCGGCTAGGTGGGGTTAAATCCAGGCGGATGGCAGCGGGGCTGTGCGGTGATGTGTCTGTGTGCTGTTTTTGATCTTGTGGTGCAGTTTCCAGTATAAACGTGCATCAGCGTGTGAATGTGTTTCCCACTTCTACCTGCAGCAAAGGCCGCTTAAACTCCAGCTGCCAGTTTGTTCAGTGACAATGCGGGCTTGCTTCTACATGTGCACGTTCCCCTCGACTGTGAGAGCACGAGGGCGTGACTGGCTGTAGCTGCTTTGTCTTTGTCATTTTTCCCTCCAGTCCAAACTGTCAGTGATAAGCACTGTGTTAAAGTCACTCTAATGAGCCACTCAACACGACCAGACCCCAATAAAATATTTGCATAACAATCTTTTTTAGTAGATAAATTGCCTTACTTTTTATAGTGGGCGTGCAGCCCCCTCACCTCCCCATTGTTTTCTTTTTATAAGCAGATATCACCGCAGCATGTGATGATGCTTCTTTGGATGTGAAGTGTGCTAAAGGGGGGAAAGCAGAAGTAACTGGAGATGTTATTTTTCCGACTTCTCTAAAATCACTAGATCCTATCAAAGTTCCTTCATCAGAGCCACCACAGTCAATGCCGGAGCCAGAGGAAGTGAAACACAAAGATATTAGCAGGCCACAGGCCTTGTCGTCCTCCTCCTCCCCAGAGAGGGGTCTGATCTCCAACCCTCAACACTCCCTTGTTTAAACACGGCTATTTTTTTTAATGAATATCCCAGCCAGGGACTGATATAACCCAACTAAAGTGCTTAAAAGGTGCAGATTGTTCCAAGCTCTGATTACAGTCTCTTACATGCGTGCAGTCAGTCAATGAAATTCAAACCGAAAACCACAACACGAATGCCAGGACAGTAACGGCTTCTTTTTTTCATGCTTTGTTTCCAGTAAATTTACTTCCTTTATTTTATGTCTACTCCTCCATACCGTAAAAATCACACGGTTAAATAATCTAATTGACCATTTAAGGAAAATATTGATCCTATTGGAGAGGTTTGTGCTTTTGTAGTGATCTGAAATATAATTATCACAGTATGGTGGTTTTTCTTTTGTTTTGTTTTTTTTGTTAATTTATTACTGCATAACATTTTAGTTTTCCAAGGTGGAATATTAAAAAAGAAACTAAATATTTACATTTGAAATTGAGAAATTTCTATTTTGCTTTTTCTTTTTTTTCTTTTTCTTTTTTAAAGGAAAAAAAAATCCATGATCATATATATAGATGATGATGATGATGATGTATAGAGGGTTAATTTGAGAGTCATTGCCATTTTTTCCCACTAATCTTGTTCCACCAGTGCTGAAAGCAAATAATGGTTAATTAATTTATAATTTAAAAAAGTAAATCTGGGGGCTGGACAAAAATAAATAACTCCTTAATTAATGAGATAAGATGTCAGCTCTGCAGTTTTCCTATGCCTCATTTAATGTTTTGTTTTACTCGTAATAGTAGTAGTATTACACAGTTGTAATTGATATGTTTCAGGTAGAGTTGCTTTATTAATTTAAACTGGAATAATATATATTTAATGTGATTACACATTGTATTTCCCAATAATTACATAAAAAATGTTTTTAAAAAAAAAGTCAAACCATCCAGTTGTTTAAATGAAATTAGAACAAAATTAATCAGGAAACTATGGAAGTTTGTTTCCACCACTGGAAAAAAAAAAACCCTAAACAAATTCAAAACAAAACAAAACAAAGAAATAAGTCAAAATTTTAAGACAATGACCTGAAATCTTGACTTGGCTCTATGAAGAAAAATAAATGAGAAAATCTGTGGCAGCAACAAACAGCAAAGTGCCGAATTTGGGTTAACACCCATTCGTTTCTGTTTAATGATTAACAGTTAATGAAATTCAGTGCTGAGCTTTCCTCCAGCTGAATCGTTGTTCTGGCAAAAGAAGAGCAGGAGGGAGTTTATAAATAATCTGCAACAACGCCTCCTCGCTAACAAAGAAGAGAGGGTGGTCCAGTGTGACTGTACAGCAGAGTGCATCCACATATCAAACAGGCCTGGAGAGGAGAAAAAGCTGCTGCACTGTTTGGTATGAAACATGAAAACCACTCGGCAGACTTTCAGGCTTTGTGTTTATATTTATCTTTGACATCTGGCCAGTGCCAAGGTTGGCTTTTACCTGCTTTTAGGGTCAACTCCTGGTCAGTTTGATAACAGTTGCTCAAAGCCCATGGTAGTGCCAGTAATGCATTCAGATGTATGAGTGGCTTTAACACACGACTTACACCCAATAGGGGGCGACATTGTTTTACAGAACAGCTTCTGAAGGTTTGCCATACCTGCATTACATTTTTATCCTGTGTATGATGTGAGAAAGCAAAAAAAGGCTTGTTGTGTCTGAACAGCTGCCCTGTTGTGTGACCCTCTTTTAGCGGTGGCAAACATAAGGCTCCGGTGCAAGAATCTGCCCACTAGTGACTCCAATCTGTCCCACTGGTCAGTTTTGGAAAATGTGAAGAAGGGGCATAAATCTTAGATCTTTAACTGTATTTTTACAACTTTTGCAGCTTTTACTACTGAGAAAGACCTTCCCCATGGTCAGTCATACTACACGAAAGCAAATAAAGTACATAAATAACAACTAAGTAAATAAACAAGTAGATGATGAAAAGTTTTTGCTTTTTCTCTACACTTTTGTTTTTCACTAAAATTTTCATCTATTGTAAAAATGCATGGGTTTTTTCAGTTTTTTATTATTTTATGTATTTTATGATCACAGGACAGTCTGCACAATAAGCTAACAGAAACTTTACTGTCATTTTAAAATATTTATTTCCTTCAGTTTAAGCCAAGAGTCATGCTGACACACTTCTGCCATTAAATATAACAGTGTTTCTTTATCATGTAGAAAAACTAAGTTGAACTGGTCAAGTTACATTTACTAAAATGATTTTGTGAACTTGGAAAACTAACAAAAATAAAACAAAATATGGAGGAAATACTCGTTTTAGTATTTGTTAGTCTGGTTAAAAAAAATGTTACAACTTGCCTGATGATTGACAAACATGATTAATAACAATTTGGACGTCTGCTTTACTGAGTCAACTGCTTTCAAGAAGTTTGTTTTTATTGTAATATTTGTGCTGATTTTCCTCAAACTTGCGTGGGACATATTTCTTCCATACAATAAGAAGTCACAATCAGTCAAAGTGAAATAAAAAATAAAAGCTAATTAGAAAACACAACTGTAATAACTCTTGAGGTGTGACAGGTAAAACAGGAATGTTCTTGTTTTATTTAGTGAGCCACCTACAGCCCAGTTTGATATCAATGGGAGCCGGACCAGTAACAAAAAAAGAAAAGAAAAAAGAACTATCAGTGTACAAACATTCAATTACACATTTAATCTCCAAGATATCTCAATGTAAGATAAAGTAGTGCAGTTTAAACATCACGCCCCAGTTTTTTAATATGATAAAAAAAATTCTGCTTGAGTAAATAGGAGACATAAGTCAGCGTGACTCTGGGCTTATATTGTAAGATATGGGTAAAATTACAGAAAAGGTTCTGATGGACTTTTTTTTTTTTAATTATAAAACACAAGGTTTTTGTTTTAAAGGGACAGAAAAATGTCCCATCTACATTTCTACTGTAGATGGTGGGGAATGCAGTAATTTTCTGTCATTATGTTTTTTAATATATTAAGTAATTACTCTTTCGTAGCATAAATAGCCATGGGGGAGGTCTTTATCAGCAAGAAGCTGTAAAAAAAACAACAAAACAAAAAACATTAAAAGTCCAAATATGCCTGTCCTACTTCACGTTATCCAAAACCATCCGTTAGTCCGTATTGGAGTCTTTGTCGGGCCGATTCTGGGTCCCCGGGCCTCATGTTTGACACCCCCTGAGATAGCTTAAAAATATATATATACATATACATATGTATGTATGTATGTGTGTGTATATATATGTGTGTATATATGTGTGTCGCATATATTGTTATAAGCAGCTTCCTCTCCGCCAATCAGGCGCCAGCCAGCCGCATGTGTTATGCAAATGAGCTATCTCGTCCTCCAATCAGCGGGCTGCTGGAGCTGTTTTCCCGCATGCATCAGGGAGAGAGGGAGCGGAGCTGCAGCCCGCCGCTTACAGTCTTTGTGTGCTCTCTCCCGGCCGGTCGCCCGGAGAGCTGTGGCAGCACCCGGCTCTCAATAATGCGCTGTTTTTTCTACTTTTATACCGCCGGAGTCCAACTTTGTACACACGATGCGTCGCCTGCGGGGCTTTTAATGGACGGGATAGCATGAGCTCCCAGTGCTACCCGGTGGCAATGGACCTTGGCGTTTGTCAACTGAGGAATTTCTCGATTTCGTTTCTGTCCTCTGCGCTTGGGAAGGAGAGTGCATCAGTCAGGGTTGACAATAGGTAAATGTCAGCACTCTGTCTTTGAGGCTGTAAGCAGAAAATTAGAAGGGGGGGAAGGTGCCTTTGCAGACTTCTTAAAATCCCTCTCAGCGCTGTCTTTAAGGGGAGAAGGAGAAAAACAACAGCCGCAGTGGTCACAGCTAATGTTGCATCATCATCATCATCAAACAGGTTTTCCTCTCTCTGTCTTGCAGCTCCTCGGGTGCAAGTGTGGTGGCCATCGACAACAAGATCGAGCAAGCAATGGTAGGTGACACTTTGTACCCCTTTAAAAAATGTATTTATTTTTAAACCATCTGCAGTATGCTTTCTGCACGTAATTGCAGCCCTGTGGTGTTATGTAACCCGAGCACCTACAGCGGTAAACTGTGCCCCTCCTGCCTTTTTATTTTCGCGTTTTCTTGCACTGCATGCAGTGTAGTGAGCACAGAGCGCTGGAAACTGGAAAGAGCTTTCTAGAAATTAAGATGCAGATGCGTCGGAAGGGTTTTTTTTTTTTGTTTTGTTTTTTGCGCACTAGGGCACCTGCGGGTTTGCGGGGAAGCTTTCTGCTCTGTCGCGATTTGTCCCGATGACCCTCGAGCTCTCTGGTAGCTCAGTTTGAGTCGGGCTAAGGATTCACACGCCGCCCCCACCCCCTCCCCCCCAAATACATCTACATACGCCCCTTCTCTCTCTAGTTTCCAAGTGTTGCTAGGCAAGCAGGAGCCTCCCCTCCGCGCGGTATAAATAACTCGGCCGCTGATTGGCTCCTCCCACTCCGGTGCAGGAACATTTTGTTCCCTAGTTGCTACATATCAGGGCAGGGGGGAGGAGGAAGGAGGGTCCACCAAGGATGCTCAGATTATTAAACCCAAATCCCCCTTCAGCTCTGTTCTGCCTTCATCATCACCGTCATCGTCGTCATGGGAATAATCTGTGAAGCTGTTTCTGCAGGAGTTCATGTCACCCTTGTTTTCCTCGTGCTGCTGAGACAGCTGGCATGCCCCTGCAAGGCTCATGCTAATTTAGCCTTTGCTGTGTTACCCATTTCCCCCAGCAGCCTGTCAATGTCTGCTTGTTTTTATTCTGCAGAAATTACTCAAATTACATTTGTGCATTGTGCATTGCAAGTGCATTGTGCAAGCTTGCCGACTAACCCTTTTGCTTATAAAAAGTCTTAAATATTGAACAAAACATGCATAAATATTTACCTCACAGTGATGTAAAGTAGAGGAAAATGGCGTTTAGTCATATTGGAAATGCCAAATCGTGGCAGGTGCACGGAGGAAAAACTTTGTAGTCTACTCATGGGTTTCTTCTTTTAGTATGTTTTATAAAATGTCAACAAAAATGCGAAACCTGACTGTAGGGGAAATCTAAATTTAACCATTTAAAGCCTGAAAAATAATTGCCAGAAAATTTGTTTATTGAACCTTATGACAGTTTATTTTCATTAATTATTCATTTAAATGTATGGATTTTAATTTGTCATATTTGCAAAAAAAAAATGGATGTAACAATCTATTGCTTCAAACTGTATTGTGCAAATTATTCAGCTTTTTTGGAGCCGTGCACCTCTGACACATCCATATCACACTGATGTAGACGTGTCAAACTGTGTAACACGTGATTTTGAAAGGGGTTAAGGAGCCTCAAATAGTACAGTTTGAGTTTTAATTTAGCTTAAAAACTACGATAATTGTTGCTAGCTTAGCTTTCTGTTGAACAACCAGCCAGTAAACATTCAATAATTTCACTTCTGACTGGAAATATAAAGTTGAAAGAAGCACATTTGTAATTGTTGTCGTCGTTGTGTAAGGAGCCCAGTGCCGCTGTATTATTTACTCATTCTTTATCCCCCACCCTCTTCCTCCAGGATCTGGTGAAGAGCCACCTGATGTACGCCGTGCGCGAGGAGGTGGAGGTGTTGAAGGAGCAGATCAAAGAGCTGATCGAGCGCAACACTCAGCTGGAGCAGGAGAACAATCTGCTCAAGACCCTGGCCAGCCCCGAGCAGATGGCTCAGTTCCAGGCTCAAGTCCAGACTGGTGGCTCCCCGACCGGCACCGCCCAACCTCCGGTCCCGGCTGGCCCCTCCACGCAGAGCTCCGGCACATCTGCGTAACCCAGACATTGGAGAGCCCTCTGACGATGAGAGACCGGGGGGATGGAAGAAAGAAGATGAGAAGGAGGAGGAGAAAGGAGTCTCGTCATACTGTGAACAGACTCTAGCATTAAGACTCTGCCAGTGCTTGGAGGAGCACACACTCGGGCTCAGCCGGAGGATGAACCACTCTCTTTTGTTGCACATTTTATTTAACTGACTTTGGAGTCACACCGATGTGTAATGTGTAAGTGTGTGTGCATCTGCGTGCGCGTCTTTGCCTCCTTTCTGACTTTTAACCACCCGCTTCAGACAATCCTCATTGTCATGCTGGTTGTTGTTGTAATCATCATCATGGTGACAACAACAATGTGGGGAAAGGGACAGAGCTAACAGGAACCGACCCTGCCGCCATCTTCAGGGCCGCTAAAAAAAAAAAAAAGAGGGCGGGAGGAGTTAACCAAGGGCCCGGCCAATCAAAGAAGCAGGCTCTTGTCAGTGCCGTTGAATACGTTGCGGTGTGACCCCCTCCCCACTGAAAACATGTGCCATCGTCCCCTACCCCGCCTTGCCGCACCCTGACTGTCCATCAGCGCACAGTGTTTTTTTGTTTTTTGTTTTTTTTTTTAATTCAACATCTTCCTGTTTTCCTGTTGCACTTTTTTTTCCCAAGCGGACTTTTAAAGGATGACAGAAGATTCATACAACCCACCCTCAATCCGGGAAAGTCCCAGATCTCTGAGGATCACCAGTCTTGACATTCTTCAAGGGGAGGATGGTCATAAAACCTATGAATTAAATATCAGCTGCTTCTCATTGTTCACTTTGAGAACTGAGTTTGAGGTCCACGTTGCCCACCCTTGACACCCCCTCCTTGTTCTTTCTCAGACAGCGCATTAAAGATTTATGCAGGGGATCAATGTTTTTTGGGGGTTTTTTTTAAGGAGGGCTGGGAGAAGCTTGTTTTGTCTGTCCTATTAATTTTGTTTTGGCTCTTGTTAATGTAATAATGTCCAAGTGATCTGTAAAAATAAATGGCAGGAAGGCAGTTCGATAGGACATGACTGTTTCTAGCTAGTGATCTTTGTATAGGTGAAAATTTTCCAGTTCAACTCTGCCAAGTGCCTGGTTTCCAACCATAGATACATATATAGAAGCCTTTTTTTTGTTGTTGTTGTTCTACTATTTTGTATATATATCTATGGTATGGCCAGGTTTTTCTCTGATCTACCTGTGATGTCATTACTCAGGGTGGCAACAGAAGAGGACCTTTTACCTCCACACTAAGATGCTGTCTCTCCTGTGGTGACACACGGCCTTGTACTGTATCTGCCGTTGCTTCAAACTCACTCGCTCAAATGTTCTGGACTCTTTAACCATTTGGAGACGTGTGTAGTTTTAGTTTTTTTTGTTTTGTTTTGTTTAAATAAATCTTAGCATATTTTTTTTTATTATTATTATTATTATTTTTTTGTACAGCCAAGTGTTTGAGTTGCTCAGTGCAACTGGAGCGCTGAACACAATAATGAGACATCTGGCTTAAAAAAAAAAAGAAAGAAAAGGAAAATGCCCAGCAGCAGAAGTATGTTGATGTTTTGTGCATGTTCCTCAGCCCATCACAAATGTGACGTTACAATTGCACTAGACAGTTGCACCTCAAATAAAAAAAGAAAAACATGACAAAACTGGGAATGTTTTTTTGTTTGTTTGTTTTAAGTCATAAATTTATCATATGTTTACATCTTTTCTCCTCTGGAAGCTGAAAAATTATAGGCATTATAGATTTAGTTAGAAAAATGGTAATTTATAAATATTTATGGCTTCCCAGTTTACAACATGAATGGCTGGCTCTGCCAAACCTCCGTGCGCATGCGCAAGTGAGTCTACTACGTAAATATTTATATATTACACGGGTGTCTCATTGGTTCCATATGGCCGAGCCTCCCCAACAGAACCTTATGGTCGGCCCGCCCATCCGCCCGATTCACATGGACATGCCCGCTAATTGCGAGAACGTGCAAAAGGGGAGCGAGCAGGAAAAATGTAGAACGACGGCTGAGGAGCCGAAGATGGCGAGTTTGACACTGAAACGTGTTACAACGGAGGTCCCGCCCCGTTTTTAGTGCATTATATTTAAACGGGTAAAATCAGCCGTTAGTTTCATTTTGCAGGGAAAGTTGAGACTTATAAAATGCTTGAACAGTATGAATGTGTAGTTTTGCGGGTAAAGATTAGCTGCCACAGTGCGTGATATATTTATTCAGAGCCAGAGATTTTAGAAGTAAGAAATCAGAAAAAGACGAACATAATTTCTCCTGTTCAATCAGGCCAAAGCCACACCCAGAATCATTAACGTGTGCAGCTGTGCAGTAAAACTGGTCATTAATATTTATGACAGTGCTTGTCAATGAAAGTCAATAAAATCACCTGTATTATTTATTAAAATAGAAGCATGCTCTGTTGACTTTTACTAATGGTGAGCTGTTTATATGTTAAGGTAAAGGTTTGATGGAAGGACATTAAAGTATAGGAAGTGCAAAACATAAGGTTAAAAGGAGCATCACTGAGAATTATGTGTAACCAAATGTTGCTGTTTAAGTGGGGCTACACAGCATCTTTATTCCTTGTCCCCCTGTCCCACTTCTTGAGACAATGTCCCACATTTTGACTGGGGCTCTGCAGAACATGCAGGTCCTTACAGTCCATCTGTGGCCTTTTTCCTGAAAGGCTAGATGGACTGTAGAGTGAAATGAAAATTATGCCTATCAATGAAAGTTACAAAGTGTGTGTCATAATTGGATAGAAATTGCTAAAATTAGTCAGATATGTCTCAAAAAAGCCAATCTATGGATATATCCCAACTGAAACCCCAAAACTGTTACTAGACAGAAAAGCATCTGAAATAACAGATAATACAGTATATGAAGACTATCGCATGCTAGCGTAAGAAGAATTTCTTTTTCTTTCTACCAAACCTTACTAGCTATGCATGGGATATATGGAACATAAAAACACATGTCTATACTATGATATTCAATTCTATACAATAGCATTCCATTTAGTGCTCATTTGAACCATCACATTTACAAATATATATGATTGTGGGATTTGCATGAAACATTTGTATATGCCATATAGATGTTGGCAATCACGGTGCCCTAGACAATGTTTATGCAAAGCTTCATCAAGATTGGAAAGAAAAGAAAAGTTGCATTTAAATATAAAACATCTGACTACCTCCCAGCATTATTAACGTGTCACACTTTGTCCCACACAAACACTGTGTTTAGTTTGTTGGGTTCTGGTCACCCTAACGAGAGGTTTACTGGTTGAACTGTAATATTTTAGTTTTACCAGCACTTATATTTAAAAAATTTTAATTATTTGGTTCAATTCACAATCTAAGCAAACACCATCCGTTCATGAAGGACATGAGTTGTGGCAGAAAGCTCGAGAATACCGAGGCTTAACCACGTCGCAGTGACTGACGTTTAATTTCAAAGCCTCATTTGAATCTCACAGTGGAGCAGCTCACTGAGCCTGCACGATATTTTTAGTAGCTTTTTCTAGGCTTCACTCTGCCTCCTGTGCCAGAGCCGACTCAATTTCCTCTGACTGCAGGGAGTCTAAAAGTCAACTTTTAGGTTTTTTTCAGTTATGTAAGTTAAAAACGACCTGCCTTGTGTGATATTCAATCAAATTAAACTGTTGGAGCCCATAATTTTATGGCCTATGTATAAATAACACCTGAGTACGACAGAGTACATCACTTTGGGGAGTCCTGGGTTAAAATCTAATCAGTAGTGGTCTTTGATCTAACATATACGTAACTAAAGGCTTCTGACCTGACCTCCTCAGATCAGTCTGATCTTAGATCCTGACCTCGTAATGACCATCTCTGGTGGATCAGACACAGAGTGGAGGCAGAGCTTCTGCTCCTGTGTCCAGATGGCACTTTCGCAAATCCCATTTCATTGACAAAAGGTGTTTTCTTCAGGCAGGCCAGACCCTGAGGACAGGATGTACAGCAAGCCTGAAGGATAACGTGCAGATTAATCTCCTCATCTAGTCTCCCATCTATTTTTGGTGATGTTCAGAGGTAGATATGGAGGGCACTTACTCACTTTTTTTGTGGTTGTTGTCATCCCAGGTCAGTGTTTACTGACAGGTACATATAAGCTAAAACTAATTCTCTGTGTATTCATGGCCTACTGTTTTCAGACATGCAAAGACCATTCTGCCCCACAAACGACCCCTGAAATCCTCTTTACACCCCCACAAGTGGACCTCCCCTGTGTTGTTGATGTATTCCTTATTGCTGAGAAAGCAGGTGTCCTGCTGGTTAAACCCTCAATGTCCAGACTGGCAAGAAGTAGGGCTCCACCTCCTCTAGACTTACCATTAAGACTCTATGTAGGGATTAACTCATCCAGAGTCCAGAATCAGAAATACACCTTGTGTTTGTACACACACAGAGAGAAAACCTGTTAACATGGTGAATGTGAAATCCCAAATATATAAGTTTTAAACCAGATTTTAGCTGAGCTACGATAAAAAATCCAAAGTAAATCATCTAAAAGAGATAAAAACTTTATATTTGTAAAGGGTTTCAGGCAACTTTTAAAGTCATTTTCTTGTTCTCCAGGCTTCTTGAAAGATATTCAAAGCTCTTCTTTGGATGTTTCTGCCTTTTGTTCTGTTCTCAGTCAACATGATTCCAAACTGCTTCAATAATGTTAAGGTCTGGGCTCTGGGGAGGCCGATCCATGACTGATAGAAAAACACAAAGTGGGGCACTATCCAGGTATGATTTTACTCCATTGGCAGTGCATTGGCAGTGTATTTTTTTGTGTTCATAATTCATCAGTTTTGAAACGACTAGCTGAAATGTAACCTAAAACTATGACAGAGCCTCCACCATGTTTCACAGATGGCTGTAGACGCCCAATGTTGTACATACCTAGGATGATTCGAACCAAAAATCAGTCCATCAGACCTGTTACCACTGATTTTTAGTCCAGTTTTTGTGTAATTTTGTATACCTCACCCTTTTCTCACTGTTTCCTTTCCTTTAGTGTTGCTTCTTGATAGTCTCCCTTCCGCTGAGGCCATTTCTATTAAGGCTGTATTGCTATGAGGTTCAGCCTGTCTAAGAAGTTTGGCAAGTGAACTGCTAGAATTTTACTAGTCTGTTGTTTGACATTAATTAGAAGGTATGTGTCTGTCTATAGTGAAATTTACTAGTTTCAGCGGATAAATTAGTAGCCAGCTCTCTCAAAAAACACCAGCATGCCGATGACATTAAACCCCACGTCAAGACAGCAAAGCAGCGGGTGACGTCATGGTGGCAAACACAGACACAGCAGGACACATGTGCCCTCAATCAGCACTCATACTCAATCAGAGTCAGCTGCTGTCACAGGCGACCCATGAGAACATCCCTGCACAGATCTTAACATCAACTCACGCAGAAAGTACACACAAAGAGCGAGCCGGTTGATTCACCATGTGATGCCAATAAGAGAAATGCTCCAAACTCGTCCGTAGACGTTCCTGTGGAATCACTGTGACTCTCGCCACAGTTAGTTAGCTGCTGCTGTATGTGGGTCATGTCACTGTGTTTGGGTAGCAGCTGAGGGGAGGTGTGAACACGCTGCTGCTGTGCCTAAATAGAGCGTGACAGACGAGGAAAGAGTCAGCTAGAAGAGAGATTACAAATTATAGGGAGTGCACCTCTAATACCTACAGAATAAAGTATGTCAGATGATGATCAGTGCTCTGGAGGAGGTGTTCTGATTGGTACAAAAATGCTGCAAAGGCATCAGTGTGGTTATCTCTGTGACCTTTGAAAAGCATTCCCATGCATGCCTTCATATGGTGATCACACGTGGGCGTCTATCACTTTTTATGTGAACAATTGCGTGCAAAAAACAGGCCTCGTTCAAACTTTTTTGCTTTGTTTACTGCGTGGATACTTTCCACATGCTGCTTATTGAATCAGTGGCTCATAAACAAGATACAAAAAGCACCGCTAGTAATACTTTGTGTGATTAAATCCAAATGAAAGATTCTGCAGCTGTATGCTCTTCAATGTTTAGCAAAAAAGGAGAAGAAATAAATGGAGAGAAGCTACACAAGTTGGGTATTTTAAGCCTCCAGATGCAGTTGGGGATGAGCACATCATTCTGGATTAAAAAAAGTTATGCCCTAATGTACTCAACATGCAGCGCGCTTTGAAAAGAGGAGTCAGTTTCCTGCTGTTGTCCAGTGTTGCAAGATTATTATTTTTACTTCATGCCTCATATTTTCCGTTGACCAAAAGCAATGTCAGTGACCTTGAAGCAGTAATAAGACAGTGAAACATTCATCTTCATCCTAAAGCACACAAAATAACACGCTTAAGTCATCTTAAACCCAGCTGCTGCCTTAACCTGAATTAGGCCCTTAAATTAACAAGGGACATTGCAGTAGATGTTCATGGTGGTCAGTACGTGTCCGTGTGTCCTCGTTTGTCCTCCATCCAAAGTCACATGTCTCAGAGGCACGTGCCCCCACTGCTGTGCCATGGGCCTTCTGAAATTTCAAAACAAACAGCAGACGGAAGCGTGGAGAGAGCGGCACGTAGCCTGCGCCCCCACTGGCGAGAGAAGGGTGGATTATGGGGGATTATGGCTCTATGT